ATAACATGCCATGGCACGATATCTTATTCTTCATTTCGCGCGTTGTCGACCATCGATGGATGGCTTCTTGACTTGGTTGTGGAGCTGCACAGAGTTTGCATGATCGAGCGACGGCCAGCACATGTAGTGGGGGCAAAGGCCTTCAAAGAGTTGGTGCCACGACGTCGATGGCGCCGCCAACCCCGTTGCAATGGGCACGACATTGGGTATCGCCCAAAGCCCAGTACCTCGACTCGTACGCCACCGCCATGACCATGGACGTTGGTCACCCCTGTGCCACCGCATGCCCGCAACTCGCCGGCCAGTTGAATCACTCCTGCGACATCCCCATCCTTTGTCTCTTCTGCCGTCCCCGTCGTTGCCGCCACGGAGGCGACCCATGCCCGTCGACGCTGCATCGACACTCACTACAACGCCGTGGCTGGGTTCGCCAACCACTCTGTGGTTAGGCCAGACTCAATCGAACGGAATGGTGCGCGCCTCGGCGACTTGGCGCGGCAAATGCGCAGTTCATGTGGTGACGGCGCGATCGGCGAGGGCTGGCACAACTACCACCACCGGTACCCGACCGACTACGCCACGAGCGAATTTGGCATGCTGTACCAGTGGAACCCGTCCAAAGTCTTTATCGACATCATGGCTGCAATCGGGCAGGCGTACGACTTGAAGCGCAGCACGACGGCCGCCGCGACGCGCGAACGACTCGCGATTGCCGTCGAGGAAGAGGTGGTCAAAGGGCTGGTCGTGCCCATGCCGTTAACGCCACTCGAGCAAGCCCTGCGATGGGCAGTGCAAACGTTCAAGTCAGCGCTTGTAAAGTAGGCATCGTCGAGGCGGGGAGGGGCAGCCATGATAACATGCCATGGCACGATATCTTATTCTTCATTTCGCGTGTGGTCGACCATCGATGGATGGCTTCTTGACTTGGTTGTGGAGCTGCACAGAGTACGCACGATCGAGCGACGGCTTCAAAGAGTTGGTGCCACGACGTCGATGGCGCCACCAACCCCGTTGCAATGGGCACGACATTGGGTACAGTGCGCGAAATAATTATATGCGCACATGAAAATCTTGGTTTTACGGAGTAGTCTAGACAATTGCTTTGATCTGAACTTGCCCTACGTCG